TTATATATATTACGCCTTGCCGGGGCTTGCGATGGCCGGTTGAGTGCCTTATAGGAGTAGGACGTGGGCACTGAATGTGTCCCCAGCCGGCATTGTAATAACCGTCGATGGTTACATAGTTATACGCTGGAAGAGGAGATCGGATCGGAGGTCCGGATAGCGTAACTGGCAACGCATCTGCACGGTAAGCAGGAGTTGTGGGTTTGAGTCCTGCTCCGGGCCGATTTTTTCTCCCAGCGGTTCTAAATTATTTAAATTAATTAATTAATTTATAATTATTAATATTATGAGATGGCGCCTAACGCTTACCTCTAGTGCCAAATTGATTACGTAATTTATTTAATAATTAGCATAAAACTAGCCCGATAGATTTTCGGCAGTCTGTTGGTATGTAGCTTTATTATATCGGGTTTGGTGATGTTTATATGCATGTTTAAACGTTATATTTGCAATAACTGTTTTTAAGATATGCAATAGATGGTAATGTAAAAAGATAATAAAAATATGGGGGCACTAGATTTTTTTAATGTCAAAGTGGGCGGTGGTCGAAATAAGTTTAAAAACCTGTGAACTAGAATAAAGGTGAAAGAAAGCAAAGTGATCATTAAGTTGCACTACACTGTGTTGAATAAACAATAAAAATCAAAAATTTCAAAAATAAATTACAGATTTAATACTATTGTAGAAAGGAAAAAATTAGAGGTCATTAAATATGAATATTTAGGCAGCAGATTCACCAATAATAACAAATGTAATTTGAAATAAAAAGCAGAATGTACAAAGCAAAAAAGAAAAAAGTCTTCTGTAAAATATCAAATACACTTGGCATTAGGCATAAAAATAGAAAAATCAAAACACACCTTTAAAATTCTGATAACTCAAATATTTAGAACAAATGTTTCAGCCAAATTTAAAAACTTTCTTTGGGTTGTTTGTAACTGAACATCAACATACATAAAAGAACAAAAAATAATTTTTTTTAAATCACAGAATTTTGGTCAAATACAAAATGGTTAAAACATACAATTATTTATGAAATTAAAACAGAAAGATAAAATAAAATGAACAACAAAAATATAAATGAAAAAATACATTAAAACAAAGAGAGATATTTGGAGAAAAACATCAAAGAAAATCTATAAACCTGAAGGATGTCAAAATAATTTCTTATGCGGACATCACTATACAAAATTCCTCAACAACGTTTCCTCCAAATTTCTTTAAACGTGGACACAAACATTTCTTCTAAATAAATCTGACTTGTTGAAATTTCAAAAGATGTATCTGATATTATTATTACTTGTGTATCCAGTTGGTGTAACTACATGTTTGATGGAAAGATCACAAATGAAAATGTGCTAAACAGCACAGAAATAATAAAAATATTGGTCAGCATAATGAAAAAAAATCTGCCTTTGCCAAACATATTAGAAAAGGAAACATGAAAATCTTGGAGTGCAATTTAACTTAAAAAAAAAAATTCAGGATACTAAAAATCAGGCAGATGTAGACTAACATGGGACTAGACAAGACAGAATCCGAGAGAAGCAAAAACAAAGAGCCATGATTATTGGAGGATTAACATGTCAGTTAAAAGCCTTTTGACAGGAGCTAGCTACAAGATTAAAATAAGATATAAAAAAAAAACATTGGAAACAAAAAAATACTAATTAATAGATCTTAATTATTGAAATTGTTCTTTCAAACACCATAACTGTGTATTTCTATTAATAGGACTTATTATACTGGTGTATAGAATTATAGCAACACAGTCACACAGATTAAAATTGGTTTATTTATGATTACAGGTAATCATAAATAAACCAATTTTAATCTGTGTGACTGTGTTGCTATAATTCTATACACCAGTATAATAAGTCCTATTAATAGAAATACACAGTTATGGTGTTTGAAAGAACAATTTGATTAAATTAGGACATTGATGCAAATTGATTAATTATTGAAAATTTAACTTTTGATTATTTTTAATGTATTCAATAATATTTCAAAGTAAAACTAAAATAAAAAGCTGAATTTAATAACATGACAATTGTTTATCAACCATTTACAAATACATTTATATATTATGTTTTATTAGTAAAAAAATGAAGTTTTTGTATTACCTGACAAAAAATAATTTGCCTTACAATGGTTTCTAAAAGTGACTCAGGCAATGCAAAAAATTCATTTCTTCCACTACTATAAAGATTATTAAATTAGCATTAATTTCAATGATAAACGACGACATACCTAGCATCATCAAAAGTCTTTACACATCTAAGTGCTTCATGAAGATGAGCCATCAGAGGACGCTGCTGCAAGTTTATAGCTTCTGCCAGGAGAATGTTCAAGAGAGCAACTAAGTCATTATTTTTTTGGGGGAGGTTACTTCCTCCAAATGACCTTCCCCAAGAAGTCGACCAAGGTACGGTCTGCATGTCAGAAGAACCAAAAACTAATCTCAATTTCTTTTTGGCATCAATAAAAGAAAATGTGTGTTCCATTAATAAGGGATCATATAAATTTGAATCATCTTCTAATAAACTAGAATCTGGAAAATTACTAATTCCAACATCACCATGACTAATAGAATTACTTTCCAAGTTAGCAGCTGGTTTTTTTCTATATTTTGCCAAAATTTCATCACCAGTTTCTGAAAAAAAATTTTTTTTTGTTATTATAAAATGAAAGAAATTAATATTTAAAAATAATTACAACCAAATGATCAGCCAAATTATTGGGCTATTAAAAGACCAATTTAATAATTAGATACTAAGTAATTTGTTTAGAGGTAGGCGGTTAAGCCATCATATCCTGGTAATCTAATAATAATAATAATTTTAATTTAGAATTTCTGGAAGAAAAGAATCGACCTAGAACAGGACTCAAAATCTGTAACTCCCTCTTTCCAATCTTTGTTAAAAAGATAGGTTAATCGTTTTTTTTTACTTGGATTACTTATTTTCGGGTAAAATGTTTAAATACAAAAAAAAAAAAACACAGCACGACGATAGTATGTGATGACAACAGTACAAGTTTACAACAACAGCATGTAGTGACAATTAATACATACTACTAATACAATAGAGTTGCAGTTGGAGACATGATTATAATAGGCATGATGGATTAGACAGTAGTCAGTGTAGCCAATTTAGCAAACTTCTCACCACATTTAGCAAGATTTTAAAAACTAAAGTAACTTTTTATTTTGTTTATTTTTAAGGTTTAATTTTTTTCTATTATTTCAACACCTTGCCTTGAGTGCATGTAAATAGCTCCAGAGGCAGACATGTGCCTGCGGGCAAAAGGTTGGAAACCACTGATGTAGATTGAAGTGCCTCCATACTGTAAAAGAACAAAAGACTAACGAGCAATTATTTATTGACATCATCACAATGCCACGCTGCAGCTTTTAATCATATTTTTAATTTATTTAATTTAAAATATATGCTCTCCATCTCAAATTAGTACTGTAGTGTTTTGCCAGTCATATATTAACTGCTTTCAAGGGAAAGATTTGAATTGAAATAATGTGACTTCAGGTTTGCATTGAAAATTTGTATATAGTTTATCGAAGCCTTCTACCCCAAGGTTTCCATATCTGGTCTCAGAGTTCATCTAACTCCATTGTCAAGATAAAAGAAAGACAGGTGGACAGCAGAAATTTATAGGTCTGCAATTTTTCAAAGTGCAACCCAACAACTCTAATGTGGTCCACATGGTCTTGCTTTTACAGTAATAAATTTTCAGGTATCACCTTACCCATGAAATATTCTTTTTCCCTCATCTGCCTCAAACATGGCTGGGTTTTGGGATGGCAGCAGTAACAGACTGATATTCATAGGGCTCTAGGTTACTATGTTTGGACAACTTACTACTTTTTGGACCACTTTCAAAATAATTTGGCTACATTTCAAGGGAGAAATACAAAATATCTTTTTATTTTAAATTCCAACAAAGGAAATGATCAGAAATTGCAATATACTTTTAAATATTCTGAAAAAGTGTCCACGAACTTCATGTAGAAGCTTTCAAGCATTGGGACTATTATCTTTTTTTCTTTGAAATTAATGCAAATGTCTTTTTCAGCAGATTTTTAAATCTTTATATGTTCTAACCTGCATGTTATTGAGGGCATAGAAAAACTTCTAGTGTGGATAGATGAGAAACAATGCCTGATTATATCATCTATGAGAGATGATATAATCAGGCATTTTATTTGTGAGAAAGCCAAGTAACTGCATAATGACTATCCGAAATAAAACATCACCACTCCTCACTGAAATAAAATAGTGGCAGTTTTCATATTAATTCAAGTACTTAGGTATTTTGTTTATTGCTTTCATTTTTTAATTTACTATTTAAGACATTTTATTGTGCTATTTTTACTTTAAATTATGTATGCTTGCTGTTTAAATTTATCCAAATGAGTATTATTTAGAGTCTGGAAATGGATTAATTTACTTTTTATTATTTCTGAATGGAGAAACTAATTCAACTTCAAACAATTCAGAGTTCAAATGGCCTCCTGAAATGAATTAAATCTGAAGTACTGATACAAGGCAACAGTGTACTTAAATTCAAGTTATTTAACTTGCTTTCAAACACAAGAAATATAAATCAAATTACAAGAATACTTCAGTGAAAACAGTAATGGCACCATGAGTTTTGTTCTGTGAGAGCTTAGGTAAAATAGAGCATCATTTTAGCGAACCAATGTCTGCACATTTTATCATTAAACTTTGATAAAATAGAGCATCATCAACTTTGAAAATTTAGCAATCAATTTTCAGTAAGATATATTGGTTGAAATAAGTTTAGTTAAAATATTAATTACTTGACAAACAATAAATTCATATTTAAAAAATTTCCCAATAATGATCAGTATATGTACATTGAAATAAATTGTAAGGTTGGGCAGATGAGCAACCAAGGAGATTTTAAGGTGGGTCAGCACACCTCATGCCATCCTTGCAGCATACAGCTAAAAAAGCATTGACTGAAGATATATGCACAGCACAAATCTCATTTAAAGAATGCATTTATTATTATTATATTATTTATACAGTCAACCCCCCTATAACACGGTAGATACATTTCGAGATTTATGAATCCAGCTTCTAGGAGTCCAGCCAATCACAGCCCGGCACGTATGCAGTTTACGGACTACGGCTGTTTGAAAGGTTTCTTCCACAAAAATAATCGATTCTAGACTAATTTGACTCGACATTTCCAAGATATGTATAATTTTTTGGGAATAATCCATATAAACTATGCTATAAACAAAAGATTGTAGGATTACTTACTGTGTGTGCACCATTCGACTACGCCATTGCTTAAGTTTGTTTTCGTCATGGAGATTGTCATTGAATGGCGTTTGTGTGCTTTCTGATAATTTATTTTTTTTGCAAAAAATTCGCTGAACTTTAGAGACATCATTAATATAAATATAATTTTTATGGATGTTAAATAATAAATGGTTTTTAGTAGGTCCGCTGCTTGTTTAAACTCAATGGTTTGTGCAATCCTGTGGCGACACGAGTCGGCAATGACGTTGTACCGAATTATAGGAGTTTTTTTTAGCATGTTTGTACGAATACTGTTGCAATTTTTTCATCATGATATAGGAATCCGAACTATAGGAACCCGTGTTATAGGGGGTCGACTGTATTTTACAAATTACAATTAAATATATAAAATTATAAAATGCTGTGACATTAACTAGTATATAGTGTATTATTTGTCTATATAATAAAATAAAAATTTTAATTCCATAAATAAAAAGATAACTTTAAAAATTTTAACGAAAATAACTTACTTTTTCAAATTTTATAAAACAAAAGAGAAAATTATATAAATTCAATTTATGCAGTTTGTTCAGATTAATACAAAATATATTATTTAAATTTTTTTATCACTAGATAAAATGGTGTAAATGCATATTGGTCAAGAATGTTAAATAAAAGTTAAGGTCAAAAACTTATCTAATAAAAATTAAATTAGAAATGATTATTATTCAGAAAATTTTCTCTCACCATTTTTCTGAACTGTATCTTGTCTTTCGATCGAATGAGATTTCCTGTTTTTTGCCTTAAAATTAAATTTAAAATTTGAAAGCTTAAAGAAGCTCTTTCTATTTTTTTCTCCACTTTTCTCATCTGAATCAATTAGCTGAAAAAGAAAAATTTTAATAACTTCAATTTAAACAACAAAAATACTTCAAAATTAAGAGTATTTGCCTCTAGAGAAAGTATGTATCTTATATTTCCCTATTACTATATTTTTGTGCATATAATCTGCAAGTTATCCATTTTTAAAAGATTATTCTAAAATGAGTGAGTTACATGATGAAGTCGTACGGTAATTTTAAATTTCAACTGAAAACTAACATCAGTGGAGTGATGGTTGCTTCCGTGGGTATGAGATAGGTGGAGATAAGTTGCACAAAAGTTTTATTTTTGTTCTGACAATTTTGTGTGTACTATAGGCTACCATGGTCACGTGCACAAAAATACAATAGCATTTGCATTAACCACAAACAAACTACGATCAATAGAGTACAAAATGTCAAAAGAATGGGAATGTTGTGACATGACAATAAACAGATACATAGTCAAAAATTAATAAAAATATAAAAAATTGCCAAAACAACTATGACATTTATAGAAAATATATTTCTTTTTGACCATACATACATAATATCAAAAGCGCTCAGCAACAAAATAAAGAGAAACAAAACACCTTTTTTGCCGAGAAATAAATATAATTTTAAAAAAGAAATGTTTTCAGCCTAGTTAATAGGCCATCTTCAGGTCGAAAACTAAAATGGAACGTAAATGTTCCACGAATAGAACATAAAAATTTTTAAATCAAAAATTTTACAAGAGAAAAAATAACGAAAGAATATATAAAAATTAACATAAAACAATAAAACAAAAATAACATAAATCTTCAATGTACTAATTCTGGTCGAAGTTTCTAGTAAATTTCTTAACCAAATATTTCCATGCCGAAGGTAGGCTCTCCGCATCCCTCGCATTTAAACAGCCTTCTCCTATCTTACTTCTGTGTATTTCTATTTTCTCCGCCGTCATTGCTAGAGTTGGGGAAGACAGAGGTTTGATGATTACCTCAGAGCCTTGCGCTTGCGCCATTTGTGACAAAATCGTTGAACTAGATGCTTTTCTTATGACATATCTATGTTCCTTGAGCCTTACTCCCAAGTTTCTGGTAGTGACGCCGATATAATCTTTTATAACATCCAGTTGTAAGTTCTCATAAGGAATCTTATACACCCCTGCTTTCTCCTCCGCTTTGATGTTATCCTTATCATTTCTCAAGATTTTATACAAATTAGGGGCTCTTCTTAAAACCATTCTTGATTCCTTTCGACTAGCAATTTCTTTCATAACACTATTCATACTACTATTATAAGTAAATTTCATGAGCCTAGTAGGAACATTCCTTAAAGTTCTTTTTACTGTGCCCCTTTCATACTTCTTAAGCATTCCTACAATTATACTTTTTCTGTAACCCAGGGTCCGGCCACCTGCAATACTCTATCAATCTCCTTCTCCCTGTCAGCGACTCGATCACAATATAAATAAGCTCTCCTTATTAACGCTCGAAAGGCTGCCATCTTATACGGATATGGATCCATGGATTGGGATGGTATATATAATGGAGTGTGTGTAGGTTTAATATAAACACTTGTGGACAAATATCCTTTCATAAACCAGATATTAATGTCCAAGAAGTGCACATTCAAGGAACTCTTGTTCTAATCTCAATTTAAGTCCATCATCATTATCATTGATTCTACTCATAAATTCATGCATCCTCCTATTATTTCTCCATAGAGTAAGGATGTCATCCACACACCTGCTGAAATATACGATATCTTCTTTGAAACTATGAAGAACCCTTCTTTCTATTCTTCTGACAACTAATTCACAAAGGATTCCTGAGAGGGAACTTCCCATCGGAACCCCTCTTTTTTGTCTGTAGACCTGACCACAAAAGGTGAAGCATGATTCATAGCATACCAGGTTAGCCAGTTCTTTTAGCTCTTGGGTGTAAAGAAGCAATTGGGAGTTCTTTATGTACAAGAAATCCAATAACGCATCCACGCAAGACTCAATCCTTAATGAAGGGTACATGCTTTCATAATCTAAAACGGTCACTACCTCATCTTCCATTAAAGATATACCTTGTATTTCCCTGACAACAATAAGAGGATCCTGTGCCACTAGACTATCATCATCAAGGTGTGAGGATAAATACTCGTGCAGCCTTTTTTCTAATATAAAGGTGGGTCCTCTGCATTTCTCTACAACTGGCCTTAACTCCATTCCGGTCTTGTGGGTCTTAGCGAAAGCAAACAATCTTGGAGTTCCACGCCTTGGGTTCCGGCATTTCTTGAGAAAAGGTAAAACAGCAGAAAGTCCCGAGCGTTCTAGCCTCCTGACCCTTCTGTCCAAAGTTCCAACTACCTTGTCGCCAACAATTTCACATTCTGTCTTTTTGATGTAATTATGCAACTCCTTGTTATAAGTATGCCTTCTCATGATAACCAAATGCTTAGTCTTGTCTGCTCTTGTCAACACAAGATCATTAATCCTTAACTACTCCTTCGTGAGCCAAATGTCCCTACTGGAATGTGAAATTGTCCCTATGGATTAACGGTGGAAATAGACCAAGCCCACCCTACCCAAGCACACTTCTTAGACATTAACATCAAAATAGAGGGATCATCCATCAATACGGAGGTCTATCATAAACCAACCGCTCAACCTTTGTATATACCTGCAACATCATGTGACCCACCACAGTATAAAATGGCAGCATTCAACACCCTAATCAAAAGAGCATATTCACATTCCTCGTCACAATCAGCTTTCAATTCTGAAATGCGACGCATAGAGCAAATAGCTAAACAACATGGCTATCACAACATCGTATGCAAGATAAACAACAAGGTACTCAAACAACAATCCAACAACACCTCTCGTTCCAATGATTCCCTGGTTAAGTACATACAAATCACGTACAACCCGGCACTTAAAGCCATATACAACCAGATAGCCAAGAAAAAGAATGTCCGCTTGGCATTTAGGAGGTGCGCCACAATATTCGACTGGCTTAGAAATGGAAAAGACTCTCCAGACAGCAACAGACTTCCGGGAGTATACTCTGTGCCCATCACAGATCATAGAGACAACAGCGAAGTAATTTACATCGGGTCCACTAAACGCAACTTAATAACTAGAATCAAGGAACACAAAGCGGACATCCTACATCATAGAAACAACACCGCCTTAGTGGTATACTCATCCGACCCAGAAATAGAGCCGCTATTCCCTCTAGCCAGAATTATTCACACAACGTTCAGCACACAACACCTCAGATGGCTAGAGGCCTTATACATTTGCCTTAACACCCTCAGGAATAAGCACTGCATTAACTTCAAACAAGAAATGAGGATATCAACAGCATGGGAAGCCTTCCTCAATAAATCTCTAAAGTAACAACATACAGATAATGCGCAAGTCTACAATGATGTCATCGGTAACACGTGACAACATTCCAGAAAGATTTTCCAAAATAACAGTTAATTCTAAACTGGAAATTCGAATTCATATAGAGAATTCCGTAGCGCCTGAAGATGAACCACATTAGGTTCGAAAACGTTTGCAAAGTCCTTCGTATTGGAGAAGAACACCGGTTACAGGCAGTGAAGTTAGGTAATTTATCAATTACGGTGTTATAATTTCTATATAGTAAATCTCCTTTAAAATATTCCTCTTTTATTTTTATTGTCATGTATTCTAGATAATCCTTATCCTCTGCCATTATCACCTGATCATCTGCAAATTGAATGTAAACATGGTTTACTGTTAATATCTATTCCCATATTACAACATTTCCTTTTCCATATTTTCAATACTCCTTCTACATAGATTTTAAATAAAGTTGGTGAGATACAACTTCCTTGTCTTAGTCCTTTTGATACCATAAATCCTTCTGATTTTTTTTCAATTTTTATTTTCATTATGGATTCTCTATATAATTCTTTAACTGCTTTAATAAGTATGTTGTTAATATTTATCTCTTTTAATGTCTCCCATAATTTTGATGTTGGGACATTATCATATGCTTTTGTTAAGTCTATAAACAACAAATGAGTTTCCTGTCTTGTTGCTAATCTTTTTTCCATAATCTGTTTTATACAGAAAATATTGTCCATACATGATCTTCCTGTTCTGAATCCACTCTGCTCTTTTTTTTTCTTTTGTTTGATATTCTTCTTCAATTAGATCTCTTATTATTCGTCTATATAATTACTAAATGTTGCTGTTACTGTAATTCCTCGATAGTTCTCACATTTTTTGTTTATCTCCTTTTTTTATAGATAGATGTCAAAAAGCCAATTTTCCATTCTTTTGGAATGTCTTCTCAATTAAGACACCTTTCAAATAATTTTGTTATCATTCTAAATAATTTTTCTGTTCCATTTTTTATCAATTCTGCTAGTATTCCTCCAGGACTGCTTGCTCTATTATTCTTCGGTTTCTTACATGCTTGTTTAATTTGTTTTGTCTCTAAATGAATTGATATATCCTTTTCTATGTTTATATCTTCTGTCATAAATTGAATTCTATCTTCTATTAATAAATTTTTATAATATTCTTCCCATTGTCTAACTGAGATAAACTGTCCTTTATTACTATTACTTTCATTTCTAATATTTTTTAGGAATTTCCATGCTTCAGTGCATTTTCTTCCTTCTATATATATCTTTCTATTTCTCTACAATTTCTATCTCAACCTAATTTTTTCCAAAATTAATTTTTTTGCTGATTTTCTAAGTTCCTTATATCTTATTCTCTCTTCTTCTTTTTTAGTGTTTAACCATTTTAAGTAAATTACTTTTTTTTGTTGTATCATGTTTTCTACCTCTTTGTCCCACCAGAATTTTTTAAAAGTTTTTTCATGTTCTTTGATTTGTCCTGGAGCTTCATTTGCTGCTACATGTAGTGCTGTTTTTATGTTTTCGTATAATTGTATACTGTTATCATATTCTTTTTCTTTCAATTTTTCATCTAATCTTGTCTGAAACACTCTTCTCATACTTTCTTCTGCTAAGCTTACGAGATTAAATTTAAGATCTT